ATTTATTATCACGCCGTACTGTACATTTACTTGCATAAGAGTGGGTGGGCGCTCTGTGGATTCTTGCACAAGAACGGCCGTACTTGCGCAATAACCCGCCAGCGTAGACATAGCCCAAATGTGGGAAGCCCAGTGCCATCTACTCATACAAAAAGGGAAGATGGTTACAACTCCCAGCTGGAGAACTCATGTCAGGTTCATTCTTGTATTCCTTCTACAGAAATCAGTCCTTCCAGTGCCCCAAATGAGGAAGGTATATCGCATTATTATACATTGCCTTTTTTTCCCCTACAGTCTTATTTCTGACTGCTACTTATGCTGCTTTTTTGCTTAAAGGGGAGGCTGTCAAAGAGATTAAGCCCAAAATGTGACCTTCTGTATCTTTCAGTTATCCTCTGCGTTGGTGGGCAATGTCTTGTGGCATCTGCTGCTCCACCTCGCTTTTTAAATCCATCACCATGTCCAGGAGTAATTACATCAAAAAAAGTCAGCTGCTAATTGTTGTCTAACCAGGGAATCGTCGGTGTCACCCAGTGATAAAATTTATTCCCAGTGATGTTGTGAAGATTACTTGGTTGGTGGGCCCAATGCTGATGCTTTTTTCTAAAAAGATAGGCTGTAGCTTGAACAAGATTTAAGACTTCTCTGAATTATGGCTTCTGTTATACAAGAAATCAGACTAATTTATCACAGTAATACTTTCTGGCTTTCTAATCTATAAACCCTAATTTACATGAGTAGTCCCATTGAACTCAGTGCATCTGATTCTCATGCTGGTGTGAATCAAAGCCATTCCACTGAAGTCATGTTAAGTGAGAGGAGAATCTACAGAGGTTTATCTGCTGCCCTCATCTTTGTAGTATCTGAGCTGTTAATGGCCCAGTGGAAGAACTCTGGAAAAGTGCTCAGAGGACAGAAATCACTAGAGGCCAGACTCTGAAACTCCTACTCAAGTTGCGAAGTAACTTGTCTCCCAGGTAGCCTCATTGGTTTCAGTGGAATTTCCTGTGGTGAAAAAGTATGGCAGAATCTGGCAATATATAAATATTGTATAAAAAACTATCTTTACAATCTTGCCAGTCCCAACCATTCTAACTAATAAGTCAGACCACAAAACAGTGTGATTATTTTAAAATGATTAGATTTGTAGATCGTACAGTTTGGGGGGAGTTCCCCCTTCCTGCTTCCTGAGCCTTTAAGATACACTAAAGTCATGTTTTTAAGCTTTTCTACATTACCATGAAGGTCGGGAACATATTTATTTATTTATTTATTTAATGAAAGGGAAACACCGGCTATCCCTAGACTTACAATAAAATCACAGGAGTTGGCAACACTTATTATTATTCATAGCTTCACTGATTCCAAGGCCAGAAGGGATCATTGTGATCATCTAGTCTGTCCTCAGGGCAGGGGGACTGTCCGTATGTTTGTGCATTGGTCAGCACCAGTGTTAATAAAGACACTGTCAATCCATCTGCAAATCTTGTTCTTCCTATTTGTACCAGGAAATGCTAAAATGATTAAAATGATTGGAGAAAGGCGTTAATTTCTCTCTTTCATCTTGTTCATAGAATCATAGAACCATAGAGCTGGAAGAGACCTCAGAAAGTCATCAAGTCCAGCCCCCTGCTCTAGGCAGGACCAATCCCAACTAAATCAACCCAGCCAGGGCTTTGTCAAGCCAAGACTTAAACACCTCTAGGGATGGAAACTCCACTACTTCCCTAGGTAACCCATTCCAGTGCTTCACCACCCTCCTAGTGAAATAATTTTTCCTAATATCCAACCTGGACCTCTCCCACCACAACTTGAGACCACTGCTCCTTGTTCTGCCATCTGTCACTACTGAGACCAGCCTCTCTCCATCCTCTTTGGAACCTCCCTTCAGGAAGTTGAAGGCTGCTATCAAATCCCCCCTCACTCTTCGCTTCTGCAGACTAAACAGACCCAACTCCCTCAGCCTCTCCTCATAGGTCATATGCTCCAGACCCCTAATTATTTTGGTTGCCCTCCGCTGGATCCTCTCCAATGCGTCTACATCCTTTTCATAGTGTGGGGGGGTCCAGAACTGGACACAATACTCCAGATGTGGCCTCACCAGAGCCGAATAAAGAGGAATAATGACATCTCTGGATCTTCTGGCAATGCTCCTCTTAATGCAACCTAATATGCCATTAGCCTTCTTGGCTACAAGGCCACACTGTTGACTCATATCCAGCTTCTCATCCACTGTAACCCCCAGGTCCTTTTCTGCAGAACTACTACTTAGCTGGTTGGTCCCCAGCCTGTAACAGTGCTTGGGATTCTTCTGTTGATTCTTCTGTCCTTGTTGAACCTCATCAGATTTCTTGTGGCCCAATCTTCCAATTTGTCTAAGTGACTCTGGACCCTATCTCTGCCCTCAAGCGTATCTACCTCTCCCCCTCGCTTAGTGTCATCTGCAGACTTGCTGATGGTGCAATCCATCCCCTCATGCAGGTCATTAATAAAGATATTGAACATTGGTGCATTCCTCACCATCTTGTGGACAGTCATTTTCACTGTTTTGTTGAGGGTTCATACCCTTCCACTATCCCTGAAAAAATAGGGTGTTAACTAGTCACAACAGCACTACTGAAACCAAACAGGCAATGGACCAATTATTTCAAGGTGGAGTTGAACCACCCACCTAGGGATTAACAGGGAGATTAAGCTGCTAGGCTTCTGCTCTACCAGCTCACCATGTCCACAGAGCCAATAGGCTGGGGGAGCAGATCTGAGCATGTCTGGCAGTGTCCTCTGACCAACATCCTGAAGTGGGGCTGTAGAAGACCAGTGCCTTGTTGGGGTGGAGGCTCTTTGTTGCATCTGAAAACTTAGATTAACGTACCTGGATCCGGGCAATAGCTATTTTGATAGAAGTCCTCCTGCCAACATAGTGCTATCTACACTGCAAAAAATTAGATCATTAGAATCGTGTGAGTTCTGATGTGGACTATCCAACATACATGGCAGAGAGGCATTGCTGGCACTGGATGGCATATATCACATTAGAGGATGTGCAGTTGTATGAGCCCCTGATGTTGTGGCTTTGTGGTTAGGTCCTGTGATGGTGTCGCTTGTATAGATACGTGGACAGACTTGGCAATGAAGTTTGTTGTAGGGGTGGGTTCCTGGATGAGTGTAGCTGAGATGTTGTGGATGGCTGCTGGAAAGTATTTGCAATTATACATTGGCCAAACTGGACAGTCTCTACGGGAAAGAATTAATGGATGCAAATCAGATATCCAAAAAGGCAACACACAAAAACCTGTCGGAGAACACTTTAATCTTCCTGACATTCATTAATAGATCTCCAAGTCACTGTTTTGTTTCAGACCAATTCCACAAGCCAAATACACAGAGAAGGATTGGGACTTAACTTCATGCAGGAGTTTAATTGTTATGCTAATGGTCTGAACTGGGATATAGGATGGCTCGCACACTATCTTCAACCTTTTAACGTCTTAAACAACCAACCAAACAATGGCGGTTCTAATGGTTCCTAACAGCTTCTGGTAACTATTTGCACTATCTACTCGCTGTCTCTTTTTCTTCCTTTCCTCCCCTTTTTCCTTCTCCCTCCTTCCCTCATTTAATCTTGGATCTGGACTTATTGCACTCCGGTCATCTGAAGAAGTGGGTTTTGCTCAGGAAAGCTCATGATACCATCTACATGTTTTGTTGGTCTTGAAGATGCTACTAGACTACTTCTTTTATTGTGATACCTGTGTCTAGTGTGAACACTGTTATCTTAATATAAAGGTGCCTTATACTAGTGAAGTTTATTCCCCTTCCTGAATGGGCAGAGCTATACTATTTAGCTGTGTCTAGACTGGCCAGTTTTTCCGGAAAATCAGCCGCTTTTCCGGAAAAACTTGCCAACTGTCTGCACTGGCTGCTTGAATTTCCGCAAAAGCACTGATTTCCTACTGTAAGAAATCAGTGCTTCTTGCGGAAATACAATGCTGCTCCCATTCGGACAAAAGTCCCTTTTGCGCAAAAGGGCCAGTGTAGACAGCTCAGATTTGTTTTCCACAAAAAAGCCCCGATCGCAAAAATGGTGATCGGGGCTCTTTTGCAAAAAAGCCTGTCTAGATTGGCCACGGACACTTTTCCGCAAAAAGTGCTATTGCGGAAAAGCGTCCGTGCCAATCTAGACACTCTGTTCCAAAAATGCTTTTAACGGAAAACTTTTCCGTTAAAAGCATTTCCGGAAAATCATGCCAGTCTAGACGTAGCCTTTGGGTTGCCCCTGCTCCAGGTTTTCCTAGGATCTTCCCTTTTTGAAGGTAGTTGTCCCAGGAAGAATGCCAGGGAACTCCCAGGCGCTGGCTGTTGACCAGTGTATGGGGGACAGGATCAGCTCATGTCCCAGTTTTTTGTAGCCTCAGAGGTGACAACCCTATAAATAATACTCAGTGGACACCTATGCAGGGAGCCACACGAGGGGCTGCATTGCTCTGCCCCAGGAGGCTGCAAGCCCGGCGGGCCTGTGGATACAGCGGAGGGCCGA